GTCTGCACCTGACCCTCAGCAGAGCTGCACGTGGCAATCTCAACAGTGTCCGGGGGCACCCAGCCCACTGGTGTGGGGCCCCCACGTTGAGCGGCCAGGCCTAGAACAGCCTGACGTTGGCCGTGCCCTTGGCCTGCCGGGCCCAGGAACTACCCAGGCCAGCAGATGGTATCAGGGGGGTTTTCCACCCCACGGGGTCAGCCTCCCAGACCTTCCTGGGGAGACCCCTCTACACGAGACTTCTCACATCTGAGAGCTGATGGGGCTCTGGGAGCCACGGTTTCCAGGGGCCCCACGCACCTGCAGCAGCCTCCACCTGGGACCTTGTCAGAAATGCAGATTCGTGGGCTTTTCCCCAGACCTGCCGCATCAGAAATGGGGACGGACGCCCTCCAGGAGACGCGCACGGCTGCCCGGTGGGGGCGGGAGGGGGGCGGGTGGCGCAAAACCCCCCGGGCTGTGGGGCAGTAGACCCCAGCTCCCCAGTGAGGACCCCAGCCCCATTCCGGCTGACCCGGATTCTCCCCGTCACACCCTCCAGCCCCCCTGAAGTGGGCTGACCCGAGCCTGACCTCTGATCCCAGGTGGGTGGGATATCGGCCACCTGAGAACACGGCTGGGGCTCATCTGCGCCCTGGAGTCGGGCCCGGCTCTGTGGGCAGGACCGGGAGCCCTGGCGATCGCCTGGGGGTCCGCCCGGACCCCCGGCGGCGGCGGCCCAACCCCCGCGCGGCTTCCTCCCCTCCCCTCAGCCTGCTTCACCGCGTCTCTCTTCTTCTCCCCTCCCCCGTGGCCCCGGTGGCCCCTCCGCAGTGGACGGGAAGGACAAGACAGCAGCGATGCCCGACTCTCCCGCCGAGGTGAAGAGTCAGCCCCGCTCCACGCCTCCCAGCATGCCGCCCCCGCCGCCTGCCGCGTCCCAGGGGGCCACTCGGCTCCCCTCCTTCACGCCGCACACAAGTGAGTAAAAGCCCACGGGGCCCCGGCCGTGCAGAGCTGTTGGGGGCTCCCAGCGCCGCCGTGACCCGAGGCCCGTGCCGCGGGCCCTCTGCCCAGAACCGCAAACGCCCGCCGTCGGGCCCTCGAGAGGGAGGAGCTCACCGTGGCTCACAGCCTGCGCTTGGAGGTTCAAATCCTAGCTCATCTACTTGGTGGCTATGTGGCCTCGGGCGAGCTGCTTAGCCTCTCTGGACCCGGTGTTCCCCATCCATAAAGCGGGGCTGGCCATAGTCTCCGAGTCACGGAGCTGCTGTGAGGACAAGGGAGTTGATGCAGGCTCTTACCGAGCGGCCGGCACATCGTGAGTGTTTTAGCAAAGTTGGCCGTTCTGCTTGG